CCATAGACCCGGCACAGCTGACGATGAATTTCGATCGGCGCTATGCTCTGTGCATTCAAAAACTTTATCACTGACCGCACTTCACAGTCGGCGGGAGCTGGAATAAGAACCTCCATCTTCAACAGCTGCAATGATGCTACTGTGAGAACGCGGGAAGTACCGTTAGTGCATGCGCCATGCTACGTCATTGCTCTATCACGTGCGCACAGTCGCTTCACGCAATATAAGGTTTGCTAGCTGTGGGACGAGTGGGAAACTTACTTTGTGGACGCGCCTCGTAATATGCTTATTATACAGTCATTTACAATTATGCCACCAGTGTAATGACTGCTAAATCTGTTGAGAGGGGGGGGGATTCTTGAAAGCATGGGGGATGAAGGCTTACTCTTTGCTGTAAGGTGACTAGATATACAAAAACTTCCAGGACAATCCTTTTGTTTGAAGTGGTAGTATCTCATTACTATAAGCTTAGATGTCAATAAAATTGAAACTGTGAAGGTATATAGTTCACGGTCACGTTAAAATAGTCATGAATCTTCATGATTATTTCCTGTATTCATGCAATACACAGTACAAAATTTCTTGATTACCTATATAGTTTATATAGGAAACTTACAATCTTGAGGCAGTATAGTTTCATTAGCACAACTGCCGAAGTTACAGTAACATGCAGTAACAAGGAAAACAAATGAAATATACATTATATTGGTTTGCTTGGAGTATAAAAAAGTGGAAAGGAAGATAATGCACAGTGAGTAATATTGGAGAATTTCTGGGACAGTATGAATTCACTTGCAGTGACATGGTGTTCCAGTAAAATATATAGATGGCACAGTGTTAACAGGCATAATCTGCCTGTAGCACAAGCCTGAACTAGTATCACTCATCCTGTGTTCACTGTTGGGTCAAATCATGTTATATTGCAGGAGATTAACTCACTAAATCAGAAAATCTGGCAAACTGTTTCTACTCAAAATAACTGTTTCTAATGACATTATTCTTGTATTAGTATACATTGCTGTCCAGTATTGACATTCAATCAGTGACTTTACAAATCTATTAAAAAATAGCCAACAGGCATCTCATATCTGTGAAAGTGTGCCCACATAGCATAAATCAGATTACACCTTTTATGCTTTCAGATATCTTTGGTTGACAAGTATTTTCATCCAAAGAAACAACATACAAGTCACTGTTACCGTATTGTTTACCGCCACATGGAGAAGACTCTAACCCAGGAAGAGGTGAACACAATTCACAAACAGATTGAAAAAGCAGTAGCTCTTAAGTTCAATGTTAGTATCAGGTGACTCCAGTGATGATATGTATGTTTATAATAAGTAATCAGTCATAATAAATTATGCCTTTCAGAGACAATGTTTATCAGTTTAAAATTTTCACCTCATATTTAGAAAATGCAATCCGTACAGGTGATGCCCATTTGCATTTTTACACCCAGTTTTCATTATCACAAGAAGCATCAGTATCTTATCCATGGCCAAATTTTAAGGTGTATTACCTGTGTTGAACCTTCTCCAGGCTTATCAGGGTATGTGGTACAGATGAGAAGCTTGGCATCAAAGAATTCTGGCACCAGTTTAACGTCAAAATGGTGATTGTTGTTGTTTCCTATGATTCACAGGGATGTGATCCTTTGTATAATGAATGAATCACCTGCATAGAGAACATACTGATGATACCATATCTCATGTGAAATAATGATTAAGTATCTGATCACTGTCATGTAACTTACACCTGCATCAGTAAGGAAAATATTATCTTAGGAATTTCCTGAAAGTTCATGAACATTCCCAGAAACAATGAAATCATTCCACAGTCCCTTTAAATGAATTTACAATTGATCGTTTGATTTACACTGTTTCCATTATATGTTATGGGGAGGAAAGAGAGGCATGATGCAAATGTTTTGTACAGTCCACTTTCAGAATTTTAATGTCAATACATTTCAAAAAGTATTACTTGATTACACTGACATAAAAATATAAATAAAGCAAATTTCTGATTATTAAACAGACTTTTCTATTTCAATTCTGTGATAAAATTATTGGGCTGCTACATAATTTATTTATAAAATGAAGTAAGTGGGGAATGAAAACTACTGAGTATTCTGAGCGTTACCAAACCCTTACAAAGGTAGGATATATATGTATGTTCAAATGAAACTTGTTCTGAGACAAACATTCCATTAACGTACCAGTTTATGGATCTTCTCCATAAAGAACTCCCTTGGCCACTTGTGGAACCACTGCACCAGGGTGGCCTATGTCTTCCTCCACTCTGAATTTATGACCCTTCAGCACTCTATTGATAGGGATGAATACATGAAAGTCACACTGTGACATCTTGGCTGTATGGTGGATTGTCAAACACCTTTCATCACATGGAGTGCAACATGTCCTTGACAGGAACCACATGAGATGGCTGTTCTTGCAGAACATGATATCCCTTGTGAGCATACATGTACGTTCCTACTCGACAGCTGTACAAAGGTCTCAGATGTTGCACAGATCATGGTCAACTGCTGGGGTGTCATGTCCACAGCCATGTGATGACCTATGTCTGGCCACATTCACTAGCAATGCTGCAAATCGGTATCATTTGACTGACTCAAATACTTAAATGATAAAGAGCTTGCATTTTATTTCAGTCTTTGAGATTATATACAGATCAAATACTTTGATTAAGGGTGCAAAATGGCAAATTAAGTATGTACAATTTGTATTTTTAAGTTGAGATGTGAAACTGATAAAAAGCTACAATAAACTGCAAATAAAAATGTTGGAATGTTAGATGTCCCATTTATTATCCATATGCCAATTAATTAAAAACCTATTGGGTTATGACTAAATTTAATGTCCAAATTATGAAGCACTTCTAGGAAACTGTCTTGCAACCAGTAACAACAGTTCAGCCTTGTGCCCCAAAAATGTGGAAGTTGTTATGTCTTACTTGGAACAAAACTTTTGTATCAGCTCTAAAGGGTTCTGCTAATTGTATATTACAATGACTGGATTTTTTAACATGTCCAGTCTACTATTCTGAGTTATGGAAACTGTATCTGTCTTGCAGATTGTAAAACTAGTAAGCAGTTATTATAAAACCAAAGTACATGGGAATTTTGTAATTTCTCAATGACTTACAAAATATGTGTTCACACACACACACACAAGATTGTGAACACAAATTCACACTGTTAAAATTAAAAGAGTTCCTCTTCTTTATAGAAAATTTACAAATAATAATTTTTCTTGAATGCATTGAAGAACATTTTTTCTGGTAATATGTTCACGAAAGTTTTGAGTAGCTTGGTGGTGAGAATTTCTTCCTCAAAAATTTCAGAATATAAAGTGGTAGACAGCTGACTAGAGTTATCACAAGAACCTTCCACAGAAAATCTGTGGTCTGAATAAATTCAGCATCTGAAAAAGAAGGGAAGTCCCATTAGTATTTGTCTACCACCACATTTGTACAGTTCTTATGCCCTTACAAATGTAAACCTTTTAGAGATAGAATGTTAGCACCCACATCCAGCAAATTCTTATGCCTTTACAACTATTAAACAACAGAATATTTTACAGGGAAAGGTTGTTAACTGTGTCCCAACACCTCTTTGCTTACCCATGAAAGCTGAACTAAGTCCATAGAGCACAGCCCTTCTTGAGAATCTAATAGTTGCTCTGCTAGTAAAGAAATTACTGGCCTTTACAGAAACAGAAGTTTCAGTTTACCATTTATCAAGAGTGCCACAGGTTCCTAGTCTGAGCGATATAAATCCAGCCCAAACCCTCATTCTCATTTCTTTAAGAATGTTAATATTATCATCTTCCCTATACTTTACATTTGCCAAGTGGTTTCTTTCCTTCAGGTTTTTGGACTAAAGATCTGTATGCATCTCTTAAGCGGCCCATCCACGTACGAGTCTGGCTCGGCGAGCTTGACTCATGAGCCGAGCTCGGATATATTTCACCACCCATGCATAGCAGACTTGGCTCGAGACACCCCACTCACAAACGAGTTTGGCTCAATGGAACCCCGAGCTGAGCCGGACTCGCAAGCCAGACTCGTACATGGATGGGCCGCTTTAGACACCCCATACCTATGTTCCTTCCTTACGACATGAGATCAAGTTTTACATCCATATAACAACACAACCCACAAGAAAAAATATAATCTGGAGGCAAAGCACAAAGAAAGGTTGTGGGACAAGTAACAAAAACAGTTATGTGGCTCTGCACAGCGATAACTTAAAAACAGATAAAACCATTGATGCTGATAATACAAATTTCATTTGACTCATCAAACATTTCACTGTATTGTCCTTTACTCACCAAAGTAGTCCTTCAGCACAACAAGTGAAAGGATGTACAGACCAAGGCTGAGCAGTTCAGCTAAAACCATTATATAGTGCCATGTTCGAACCGTGAGTGCTACCATTATTAGTTCCGTCAGGACTAGAGATGTGAAGCTGATAGCCACAATGTGAATGAATTCATCTTCAAACATTACCAGAGCTCCATACATGATCACACCACCTGCAGCAGTAACTGGGTATTATATATACTAAAAAGGTATTCACAACTTTCCTTTACTGAGTTCATAAAATTCAGTGAAATATGTTTTATACTTCATACTAAAATGTTTGAATTAATTATTTAGTAACTCGGAGAGCATGGTAGATTCACTCAAAGGTTAAAATTCAATACTCTAAAATGCTCCACTAACCTTGATAAATGCTGATTAGAACCCATATGAAAAATGTCTTGAAGGAGAGAGAGCGTCCTTTGCTCAACTCCTTGTAGAGTTCAGGGTAGGTAAGAGCAATTTTACCTGACACATCCTTATCAAGAACAAGTGAAAATACTGGGAACATTGTGTAGAGAGTTGCATACCTATTAAACATAAAAAACTATATTAATAATTAAATATGTAAACATAGAGATGTCCATCCAAACTAGATTGTATCATACAGAGAGCAGATATCGTGAGGCTGATGAAAAGCAAAAGGTTAGCCTGGCTTGGCCACGTTGCAAGAATGGAAGGAAATGGTAACTAGAAGAGTGATGGAATGGAAACCGATGGGAAGAAGGATGAGAGGGAGACCACGGAATGTGATGGATAGATGACGAGGAGGATGTGAGGATGATGGGAATGAGGGGATGGAGAAGAATTGTGAATGACAGGACAGAATGGAAAAAAACTCGTCGAACAAGCTAAGACCAACATACGGTTATAATGCTACAAGAAGAAGAAGAAGATATGTCCATCCAGTGTCCTATTGGCAGGGAATACCTGAACAAGCAGAAACATTCCATGTATCTGATGGAAAAATTATAGTGTTAAAATACAGCAATAGTAAGGTACAAGGGATAGAAATTGACAGACAACTCTGAGAACTCCTGCTGCAAACTGGAACTTGGTGAATGTGATGCCTTTAAAATATATTATTATGCTGTATGTTAATAATGTTTCAATTATAAATGTCAAATTGCCATTATGCACTTTTGCGTTAAAATATTTTGGACCAGAGAGAACAGTAATCTCCCATACAAAACTGATCACAAAGAATTAAATTATTAAGAAAATTCAGAAGTTCAGTTCATGAACTAATGCTGATTTCAACCTTTGTTAATATTTTCATATTTGTACACAAATTTGAAAGGTACAACGGAGAAATACTATAATGCACAAAGCTGAGAAGTGAATAGGCAATACATTTCCTCATCTTGTGTTTTCTTAAAAATGTGAATACTTCTTTATGTTTCATACATGTGTGAGAATTTGATGTAGCATTGGAATTACGAACTGTAAATTGAACAATCTAAGCAAATTACTTCTTGCCTTTCTCAATATATAAAACTCACCCAACCATAAGAAATCCTTGATAAAGTGCAACAGATGAGAAATAAAATACAGATGAAAAGACGGCCTGCATTGTTGAGATGATGAGGCCACGATGAATCACAAATTGACTAAGAGATGCTGATCGTTTGTAACTCCTACGTCCATGGACCAAAAGGAGTCTGGCAAGATGACTGAATTGTGGGATAGAGAAATCTGCAGCTAATGACGCCTGCAGACCTTCTCGTCCTGCAATGCCAATACCTGGAAGTGGGTAAGAAAGAATGAAAAAAGATCCAACACGTTAATCACACTCTTTGTTTGTTTTATTTTTATACTCAAAATCTAACAGGAAAGAAAGTGGACGTTACTGAGGCAACGTAACTGAACCCTATGCTCCAGTGTTAAGCACTCCTGCTTTGTATTTCAGACGTCTCACTTTCACATTTTTATCTAGAGATGCCTATGCCATGTTTACTGAATTACATCATGGCTTTCTTAAGTTTATCAAGTCGTGCTAGGACAGTATAATCAAATAGACATTGAATGCTTCCAAATTCTTCACAGTTAAACTTTCAGCATCTTCTTGCCATTTGAAGGTACATAATCGAAGTAACAGTGCTGGTAAATAAACCAAGAAACAATCACTTATGCTTTTCAACAGAAATTATAAGCAGTACCTGCATCAGCAGCCTGGATCATGCTGACATCATTGCCTCCATCCCCTACTGCAGCTGTGCGTCTACCAGTGTGTGTCTGAATAAGACGCACCACCTCGGCTTTCTGTGTGGGTGAACAGCGACAACATACTACTGCTGGACAACCACAGGCTAGCTCCAAAAATTCATGTTGGTAATACTGAAGACACACCTGCAAGTATGATGCTGACTGTCATCACAGGATTATGACAAAAATATGAGGAACCTAACAAAAGCATTTTTAACATTGACGTCAGAAAAATATGCAAGAACAAAATCAAGAAGTTTCCTGTTTTGAAATGTACTTTCTCCCATGACATACAGCGCTACTGCCATATTTATGAGCATAAAACTGAAGACAACACTCATGCAAGTAATCTGTGATGTGAAACAAACTTACTTTTAAATCTCTACAGATAATGAAGGGCTTGTTTAATCTTGCTTACACTCACTCACCTCTAATGAATCTCCATTAATGACAAGTGCACAGTCCTGTTTCTTACGGAATGTATTTAGTTCTAGATGGGCATCAGTACGTGTGACCACAGATTTGAACACATGAAGACCCTGTGTCCTAGACACTAGGCGAGAGCTCTTGGCAATGCAAGTTGCTGTCTCAAGTTTATCGCCTGTTAACATCCAAATCTGCAACATACAATCAACATGTAATTTTAAACTTTTAACATTCATGAAATTACAGAGTGCAAACTGAAAATGAATGATGAATGACAGTATGTCTACTTATGATAACTCTGTTGTATTTCTGCTCAAAAAATGCTTTCTTGTGTATCTTGAAACAAATTCCATCTAAAATTCTCTCAACCCACCTGAAACATAGATTTGTTAATGCTGTGATGCATCAATATATTGAATTAATGGGAAGAAATTATTAGTTTTATTCTGTTCTTTTACCACATATAATAAAGCAAACAGAATACATATTTACTTTACACCCATTCAGGTGCACCAATGTCTCATAACTTTTAACAATTCTTATCAATAAAACTATTATTTCAAAATAACAAATGCACCAAACCTTGATTCCAGCATTACGCAGTAATTCTAAGGTGGGACGTACTCTGTCTTGTAATCTATCTTCTACTCCAGTCACACACAAGAGCTCCATTTCTCGCTCCAAACTCTCAACAACAGCAGCAACACATGCAACACGGTCTGACACTGACATCCTTGCAGCATTGTATCGTGTCTATACAGGAATATCAGACTAAATATTAGAATATTATTTTGTGAAAAGTGCATCTTTAGCATCCTTTATGGAACAAAGTTGGCAAACAATTGTATTTCAATGACTAGGTGGTTAACACCGAAATTCAACATGACAGTCATCTAACCCTCTCTGATACCGAATATTTATTCTTCATACTAGATAACCTTTAACAATATAATGGTGTAGTTTCATAGTGTTTAACCACTTTCCTACCAGCTAACTAAATCACACTTACGTAGGTGACCAGAATTCCCAAGAATATCTGTGAGAATACATCCAACATTATCTGCCTATTTACAAGCAAATAAAATTCTGGAGCAAATGGTTCAAGTGGAGAAGGGAGGTAATCAATGATGACTTCTGAACTGATTATCCAATTACAGTTTTAGACTAGAAAACTTGTTATAAGGCATAAGCAATGGTAATGTAAGATTGTCTCATCAAGTTACTGTTTAAGATTATGAATGGAGAGGACTTCTGTTAGCACAATTTCCTGCTTTTACTTGCAAAAGAACTGTGTCAAGTATCAACTGGTACAAAGCTGGGTATTATTCTCTAATATACATAACAAAATACACTATTAATTAATACTGTAATTTGTAATATGGTGCAAAAAGGACAGAGACCTCAAAATCCATGTATTGATCTTCAGTAAGGGTCTTCTTTGCAACAACAAGAGTTCTGAGACCTTCTCTTGCCATATTACCACACTCTTCTTCTAACCAATCATTGTACTGAACAATACCAGACATGACTACATCAGCACCCTTGAGGTAGAAGACAATTTCACCCGTATGCTCTTCCTGTAACAAAACAGTATTATAACTTCTAAAATCTCTTTTTATGCAGGAAGATAAGATGTAAAGGAAAGCAGTCAAGAGTAGAAGTAAATGTCCACAGACACTGTTATGAAAGGTCAGACTATATATTTTCAAGTGATGTGGTGATTAATGAATAATTAATTTTAAATGATATAGAGGGAAGGAGTCATACATCGATTTAAGGTGCTATCCTGGCATTTGTCTAGATGGACTAAGGAAAAAATTCAGTCAGGAACACTGTCTCTGGAAGACTGTAAAGAGTTTGGAATTATATTGTGTAATTAAAAATTATACTACATAAATAATTTAAAGTTCAATGAAGATTCTGAAACTAATTTAAGTAAAATATCCTGACTGATGGATTGGCCATGGATTCCACAGACTTGGCCACCAAGGTCACCGAACACTCGACCCATTTCTCACATGAAAGCCATCACATAAAACAAAAATCATAAAAAAGAGCTGTACTGCTTTTTCAATATACAGATGCTGTAAGATGCATAAACTACCTTCAAGTTTGTGGTAGTGAAAGAAGTCAGAATGTGTATCTAAGCTGAAGACGGCCACTTTGAAGGATCCTACTCCATATAGTTAGTTAAAATAACTCCTAAATATATTAAGGAAATGACAGAGTAATTTAAAATCAGAACATTTCCAATAATTAATATTAAACTATATATTCTGCTGTATTGGTTTAGTTTCCCAAAGTTCGTACCTTGAGTATAATGCCCATACGTTTGGTCTCTGAAGTGAATGGGAAGACTTGCATGATGGTGTACGAGTGAGTCATACCATTTGGTGTTCGTAGCTGCATACTGGATAGATCTCGTCTCACCAAAGCTAAACCAACTTCTTCTGTCCACTTTACCAAAGCCACCTGTCAGGAGAGATAAAACACTAATTCCCAACTTAAGATTGGAAAATTACATTCAGAAAATAATTCAGTGTCCTGTATAAGTTAGCTAATTTTCCTTTTAACTCAAATGCCAGAGCTTTGATTCCAGCTCCTTCCCCTACGCACCATGATTTTACTCAAAAGTTATCCTCAGATACAATTCAGCAACAACTGGAGGGGCATGAAAATGTTATTAAAAATGACCAAGCAGAAAGCAAGCTACAAAACTGGGGAGAAACTTAAAAGTTTTAACCTACTACTGAACCATAATGCAGTTTATATATTGTAAGTTTTACTCACTTCATCTGGACTAGATGCTTGGTAAACACATGTTTCCTTTCTAGGCTTCCAGTAATGTTGATCTGCTTCTGTTCGGCTTTCTATTGATACAGGGCTTTCATCACAGTCACCACGTACTTGGCCCTCCTCTCTGGATTCTTGGTGACTAGATTCTTCATACACTGGTGTTACATTGTGACATAATGCAATTGCCTTCACAGCCTCCTGAACGCGTGTTACCTCAGATCGTCGAACCTTTGCAAAACACAATTTTTATATCTGTAATAAACAATCCACAACCCGAAAATCAGCTATGCAACTCTAAGTGTTTAGTGACTACCCACACACAGCTCAGCAGTTCAATAACACACCCTAAATGTTCCTAGAGACACCTACTTTCTTTCTGCAGCACTATTATCAGCAATGGTAGAATTGCTGGAAAAGGTGCATCACCTTGCAAGGAGAATGATGGTAACAAATTAAAATTGCATTCATGAAGAAGTTAAGAGAATTAAAATTGGGGAATGCTTGCTATTTTGCAGTTCCATATCTTACATCTTCCAGTCTTTGACTGAAAAAAGTAAAGATTAAACTATACAAAACTATAATTTTACCTGTTGTTTTGAATAGTTGTGAAACTTGGTATTTCACATTATAGAAAGAAAACACGAGAGTATCTGAGAACTTTTGGAGATAAGAGGGATGAAATGACATGAGGCTGGAGAGAAAAGTGTGTAACGAGAAGCTTCATAATTTGTACTGTTCCCCTAATATTAACAGGATAATCAAGTCAAGGGAGGCCATGTAGCATGCATAAGGGAGATGAGAAATGCACACAGAAGTTTAGTTGAAAAGCCTGGCAGGAAGACAATTTGCAAGACCTAAGAGAAGATGAGAGGAGCATAAGAAAATGGATCTTAAGGAAACAGAGTGGAAGGATGTAGACCTAATTCATCTGGCTCATGAAAGAGATCTCTGGCAGATTCTTGTGAACATGGTGATGAACCTTTGTGTTCCATAAAAGGCAAGGACTTAGCTGAGTAACTGTACGCTTTTCAAAAAGGACTCTACACCATGGAATTAGTAAGTCAGTTAAGGTATGTCAAAAAGGGTACAATACTTTGGATCCACTACTTGATGGCAGCGCAACAACATGACGAGGAACTGGGGAAGAACTTCCACCACCATCCAAGCTTAACTGCTTGGTGAGCTGGGCATATGCTGTGCTTAAATGGGAAGAAACCTGAAAAGTGCAAAAGTAACAAAATAACAATAATTAATAATCATGGACAAAACCAGCCTGGCCATGACATCATGCCAAAAAATTTTCATTGGCAACAAAATTATATTTTATGTCCAGTAATTTAAAATAAAATTTGTAAGTCACACAAATACATAATGAAAAGTTCTTGTAGTATAGCAAGGGAAGAACATGTATGTTTTCTGTTGGCAGGAGTAGCTGTAGTAAGGTAGTAACAGCCCACAAGATCTGTGATATTTTCTAAGAGCATATGCTCAATACTGTGGCCAAATGGCTAGCACTCATCTCATATTTGTAAAGTCCCAAACACAAACTCTGGCCTACAGACCAGCTATCCTGACTGAGATTTCTGTAACTTTCCTCAGTTCCTTCAAACAAATGATGGTTATAGTACCTTAAATTAAGCCACAACTACTTCATTTCATATCTCTTCCAATTCATTATTCATTAATCATCCTATCATTTGATGTGGTATACAGTCTGAGCTATTTGCAGAATTATTAAATAAATGAAAACCCACTAAAAAATTGTTTTGTCAATCAACTGACAGTTGAAAAAAGACAATATTTTTTATTTCCAACAAAATAACATTTGAGCACACAATGTTGATGATTCCATGTGCACTACACATAAAGGACTGAATAATAAACAAATTACCTAGCCTATGGCCAAATGTAACAGAATTATAAAATAATTTTCACAATGAAGGTGTTTTTCCATGTTTTATATAACAGTTTTTCATTTTTAACATATTTAGTTATACTTTTTACCTCATCAAATGTCTCCGTTCCATATGAAACAGTCCCAAGATGTAGCTTCTTAAACACCATCTCATTCTGAGTTAGAGTGCCTGTTTTATCACTTAAAAGGTATGAAATGCGGCCCAATTCTTCAGGAATTGTTGTAGAACGTACAACAGTTCCAGAAATATCTTCATCACGCTGAATAGACCATGAGTAAAATGCTTTCCCCATATCTAAGTTCACCCGTAAACTGTGGAAAAAATTTTAGTTTAACAATGCGCCAGCATATTTACACTTAAGAAGGGCGGAAGAGTATTATATGAAGTGTTACTTCCTTAAACCCAAGCAAGGCAAATATATATTGTCTATACAGGCTGTCCAGCAATAGGATGTCCACAGCTTAACTACGTGATCCTGGGATCATTCTGAGTAGAAAAGTTCTAATTAACATGAGTCCGATCCGCAACGGTTTGTTAACAAAGTGGGAATTAGTGTTTACCATGCTCTGGTTATGTAATTGCCGGTAGTTAGTACAACCCCTTGCAGCATATGCAAATTTTGCTACATTACAGTTAAATGGCTTACTGTTGCGGATTAATAACGTGAAAACCACTCTGGGACCTGGATGTAACTTTGGTCTACAAATCATTTAAATCATATGTAATTAAGACTGATAAAGTAACGAGGTTATAAAAACTAAATTATAATTCACACAGTGAATGGTAGATAATTACCTGATAGGTATAATGTAAGAGAATAGCAGCACAAATCGAAACATGTATCTGTACCACGGACCATTAAATCCTTTGAGGCACATCATAACCATGGCCAATCCCAGAACAGCACCAAATAATACCTTTTGAAGGAAATGCGCAAATATTAGGAAGTTTTGTTAAACAATGTGGTTTCACACATCAGTAAACATCAATTCAGATAGTACTCATGGAAAGAGACTGAAATCCTTTATTATATATTTTTTTCAGTCCCAAATATTCTTTCTGACACTTAAATCTCAAACATACATAATCCTTCTTCTTCCTTCACACAAAGTATCATCTTGAAGGTAACACATACTTCAAATATCAATGGAATTTTTTTTTTTCATTCTTAAAGGCTGAAACATTTGAAATAAGTAGCTGCAACTCCAGCATAAAAAATTCTAAAAGTATTCACACATCACTGGTACATCTTAAAGCACTTGAATTTCCATACCTTAGTCAGCTGATTTATTTCCATGTCAAGCAGTCCCACTTTACTGCGCGGCTGTGAATTGTTCATTACGCTCCTTGTCTCAGAGCCAGTATATACCACCACACCCAATGCTGCCCCAGATGCAACAACACAATTTGCCCAAAGTGTGTTCTCAACATCCAAACTATCTTCACTTCCATATCCATCATGCTGCAAAGCATTACAACCTCAAATTAGGAATGCATGCATGAAAGAAAAAGAATGAATGTTATTATACAAGTAGATAAAATATGAAGTTTGTATGACATGAACCATCAATTTTTAGAGGTTATAGAGGCTATGTATGAACACATTCGTTGTTTAATGCGGGTCAATCATCTGGTTCAAAGGATGTTACTGGATGAGAACCTGGACTGTTCTGAAGGACACAGGATGAGAAATGAACAATTTCTAATCTCGTACGATGGAAATCTAATATGGTAAAAATAAATTGGGTGAACAGCAAATGAACCAACTCGTTCACTTATCAACATAAAGAGGGTGTTAGTTATAATATCTAATAAGAAATGCCCCACTTAATGGTACCTGCACCTTGTCGTAGTGGTGGGGCTTGAGTACCTCAGTAATCCCAAGAGCTATGCTGGCGGTAGCATAGCTACTTGTAGGGCCTCCCTAGCCAGATTGGTCGAGGGGGAGAGGTCAGACTAAGACAGGTACCCTGGTCCTCCAGGTTGGGGGTTGGTCGCAAGGCTAACAACCTTGCAACGTAAAAAGGAAGATGTTTTGAAACCTCAATCAAAGCCTCGGACAGAATGGACCTAACAATAGGACCGAATGGAAGAGGAGAATTGAGGAGGCCATGGACCGAATATGGACTGGAGAGCCATAGAAGAATAAGAAATGAATACAATGTTAGCAATGTGAAAGTGAACACAGCTTGTGAATGACCCATTCACAACCATATTAATGTATACAGAACTGAATCAGAAATAACATTATTGTAAATGAGTTTCAAAAATTGTCACTTACTACGCCCACACCTGCCTGAAGGCACCAAGGAAAACATAACTTCTGGCTCTATGAAACTTGAGGTTTTCACAGTGGTGAAAACTTGAATTCTGGCTTTTAGGTTATGAGGCTGTCAAGTCTAAGTTATAAGAGGGTATCAATGATTTTGAGGAACCTTCTTTCATAACCTAGAAGACCAAAATCCAAAAAAGAATCCCTTCATTCAAACTATGTCAATGAGGAAAGCCAGTCTTATGGCTGAGATCCACACCAATGAAGTGCTTCAGATGAGCATGATAAGGACCTCTTGGCAAAAAATAATTTAAAATGTCTGGGATAGAAGAAATATTAACAATGGCCCAACACCTTTAAGATGAAACTCTCATCTCAATATGTTGATTCTGAAACTGTTAAATATTATACTATTTCCAATGAGTGGTGAGTTTAAGCTTCTTGCATAGGAATGGAATTAAGTGATCATTGGAAATGGCAGAGCAGAATTTTTCTGTGTCCAGACTGGCTATGGGACCTTACATACCCTAGTAAACGTCCCTATGAAACTGTGTATGTCTCGTTGTGGTTTCTCAACAAAGAGAGATGCTTTGATGTCAAAAAGCTGCAGATCTGACTCCAGTTTCTGTGTCGCTGGAACAGCAAGTCGAAGCTTCCAATCTGTTTCACCATCTAACTGATCTGTCCTAACAAAGCATGCTCCTGATCGCTCTGTTGTCCTCAAGAGGACTAAATCTGCTGGAACACGCTGATCCTTCTCCACTACCACCTGCAATATTGGAATGGATAATATACCACAAGAGTTACAATCTTCATAGAAATGTCACCACAAAACTATGGTGTTACAGAATAAAGGGTAAATCAATAAACATCACTTTTCAGAAGAAGAAACGATTTTAAACATCCAGGTCCTACACACAAAATTAAATATTTTTTTTGTCAATTAAATTGTTGACAGTCATAGAGAATCAGTGTAACTCAGATGATTTTAAATAAACTTCTCAAAAGACCACATATATTAGTGGAGACAATCCCAATACCTGTATACATTTATATTCTACAGTTCACAGAAAATTCAAAGCTCATAAATACTAACCAAATCCCCAACACGAAGCTTTGAAGATGGTATAAGTTCAGGTGTATCTCTTCCCCTCACCACACGTCTGTATTTCTGACTGTTTACTTCCTTGTCTCTTTGATGTCGACGGATATCATCAACAGCCTCACGAAATATTGTTACTGTTAATACAAAAGTCTGCAGAGAAAAGTACAAGCAAAAAAAGTTACATTCCAAACAGCTATTAGAGTGACTGTTTTACATATTAAACACAACAACATTCCAACTTTAGTGCACAAATATTACCAAAGGACCCCAATATGTGTACAAATATCCAATCCTGATATCTGGTATGAACTGACTTGTTGCCATCACAAGAAAATACAAGTTCAAGAAAAACTTGAACTGCTGAAATAGTACCTGAAACAATAAATAAAATCCAAAAAATCCAAACAGCGACACATCTCCTTAACACTGATACCATATGCAGTGGATATTGCTCTAAATATTGACAATCTATTTTAAAACAGGCAGGCTATGAATTTTGTTGTAGGACTTCACTGATAAAATGTTTGCACAATAAAGATATTTTTTTGCTGACATGGTTTTTTAACAAGATGTATAACACACTGATAAACTAGTTATGCTCATTAAAATGTTTAAACAACACCTATAGTAAAGTCTGTACAGTAAACATCTGTTAATGCACTGCCTAATCATAAATGGAACTGTCATACTTACCAATGGTAAAAATGTTATAAGATTATATTTCTGATTTCGTATTACATTTGCTGGGAACTTCTCTGAACTTGGATGACCAATAACAATTGTTCGTGACTTTAGTTCTCTTTCTTGACAACATCTCCTCCACAGCCATGAACAACACCTAAATAAGAAAAATGAAACACATTTAAACATAATTTTGAAAATTACATGGAAAAGAAACTTAGGACATGATGTTTTCAAAAGCATTTAGATTACTTATGGTATTGCACCATGTCCATAAAAGGATGGATGAAAGGGACATGTTTCATGAATTTTTAAATCAAACACCTTTAAACAGCATACCCAACAAGGCAAATTAAAATGTTCTGAACTTTCATTTTGCATGGTTATGCCAAGATGTCATCGGCTTATATCTTGGGATGCATTACCCACTGAAGGCGTTACAAAGAACTAACGAAAGTGTCACAGTTCAATAACAAACTTTCAACCATCATAATACCAAATCGTTCTTCTATTTTCTGTTATCTTGCTGCCATTGTGACGAAGAACTTACAGGATTGTACGATGTAAACAAACTGCCTTACGCATTGCATTCATTTACGAAATAAACACCAGTAGCACCAAAACTTCAATGAAATTGATGGTTAACTCTATTCCTTAAATGAATTTCACCTGTACTGGTGATACAGCAAGGTCTAACATTTTCTTACAGACAAAACGTAAGTGGGCGTGTTGACTATCCTGCCGACATTAGTTAAAATCACAAAAACTTGTTTTGTAGACACTTTTGCATTAATGCTATGATTTCCATATTACGACAATGTACCAGTTTCATCTACCCATTCAATGAACACTAAATCTAAAACAGGGCATTCTATCAGTTATTCAGATCTAACCTTGAACAAAAGTCATCTGTATGTTTGGGAATTAAAGGAATGTCTTCTTTCACGAGTGTATTTGTTGATGCAGATTCCGCCACACCAATTCTTGATGACTCCATTATTTTATGTTAAGCCCACGTAAACAGCTGAAAAACTGCCCTTCCTGAATAAAAATTTTACGTGTAATTTCCTTCACGTCACAACACAAATCAAAACATGGCGAGCATCATCCACCCTTTCGTCATCGATCACTGCAGGGCGGGAAACTTACAAATCTTTGATATTTACTCAGAGCATCATTGAATCCATTTTTTTTAAAAAATGATACCATATCAGATCATAAAATATTTCATGTGTACAGTAGCTGGCAAACTAAACCCCTAAAAAGAAAACGATGTATTATCATCACTTAAACTGTATTTTGTCAAAACATTGTATGTTATGTAGGATACTCAAAATTTAGTTAACAAATCTTCACAATCTACTTATTTAAGCAGCATTTATCTACATTTACAGATACTATGTTTAAATTGATTACCTGAACCTTATAAGATTCTGCAGCAATCTACTTGGTGACACTAAGGAGGGCCATCTACACTGGCAAATATGAAATGGGCTAGCACAGGAAAGGGAAACAATAATATAACATGTCATCTGAGATATTATTTACAAACTACAGCCATGGATTTATCCTCCAAACCAGACAAACATATTTTTGGACATGCTACTCAGATTGGTATGAAATGTCTTACCATGTATCTCTTCTTGTATTCTTTGAATATAATATCAATTCTGTATCTTCTGTGAACTGAGTTGTTGATTGAGGCGCACATTCAACTGAATAAAATGACATTGCAGCACTATTTCTGCTTGATAAAATTCTCACTCCAGAATTGCTTCCATTAAATTTGTTTCTTACATCATTATTAAATTATATAAAGTTATCTGGGTTACAATCTATGATAATATAGACACTCAAACTTCCCGACCTTAATTCACTAAGCCCTGAATATGTTTTGTATATGACTCACAAACATAAATGCATACCACATATGACATTTCCTCTCTGTCTTATCTAATCAATAAAGCAGCTGACTGGTTGTTAACTTTGCTCAAAGGACTGCATAACATACTTCTTACCACATGCATGGCACTTCCTAATGTAAGTATGTAAAGTTCACCTCTATAAGCACAGGTAAAACAGCACACAAGAAGAGACGCTATTAGTATTGTTACATTTTCTTAAATTCACTATGAAATAAACTATAGTACACACACACATGGCATTTCCTATACGTGTTTTAACTGTCCTCCAACACACATGTACACCCAGCTCATAAAATTTAAACAATCATTAAAGTGTCCAAGGAAAGAAGCAAAATGTTGGTGCAATTTACAAGATTCATGTAAATGGATTTGTGAAGAGGAAAAGAACTGAAGTTAATTTGAAAATTGTAGGGTTATGTTAATCTGGGATGATATTAATTTGTTTGGTGTGCCACCTTACTTGGATTATTTCCACCAACTCCTCTAACCAGCATAATATTTTTTCAATCCTATTTTTTTATCAGTGTAAAGACAATGATGATGGTTATCTGGGTTGTGATGCTATGTGGACTTCTTGGTAGATACCAATTTTTCACAGAAACATACTGCCTCCATTTCCTTCCTCCAAAACAATGGTATCAACTTACAAGTCTATATGACATCACAATTCAAAAGACCAACAATGTCATAGTCACTGCTGTAAAAATCTGAAATGTAAGACTATTGTAAACACACAAGAAAAGCAAAAAGGGCATGCTCTAGGGAAAAAACAATTCTGAAAAATTACATTTAATTCTGTGTATTTCTTATTTTTCATAAATTAATTCTTTTAGAATTTTTTTATGTGAAGCAAAATAAAAGTTATGTCATCTAGGCATGCTATCACTATCTATAGGACATGTTAAAACCTGGTGACAAAATAGGAATTTTGGCACTAAGCCAAGCACAAAATATCAACATTAGTCCCATACAAGTTATATTATATAACACAGAAAATTAACTCCTAGTCTAAGCATTTGACCTACAGAATGACATTACAGAGCCCAGAATGAATTTTGAATACATACATACATAGACATGTGCATATCTTAATACTGTTACAACTTACATAAAAAACCTCCCAATGAAGATATAAATTTACATAATTCTAACCAAATCATTAAATAAAAATGAAATACAAATAAAATTAAACACAATTACTGTGAGAGACCAAGTTTAATGCCCATACAAAGCAACAGGTAAAATCAGTTTCATATATTTTAATCTTTGTTTTCTGACAGATGAGAAGAAATGATTGTATGAAAGTAGTAAATATTCCCCAAATTTAATCTGCTCCTAATTTCTTTGTAAATGCAATTCTGATCTTGTACCATAGATCCCAAATATTTGAACATGCAATATCTCCAAGGGATTTATTACCTACCTTTATATAACTTCATCCTCTATAGTTTGGTGAACATGACATGAAAATATATTTAGTTTTATCTGAATTTATTTGTAGATTAACTTCCTTACTAATATTTAACAGATATTCTGTTTTTTTCTTTATGATACTTATGTTTTCACCCAATAATATATGACCATGAACACAGACCATAACTCAAATGATAATTTATTTCATTTTTGAAGTCATTACCTCCTTAGAATTTTTTTTTGTTCATAATGAAAGTGAAGTGAAGAAACATACCCACAATGAAGTAAAGAAAGACATCTGAAACAATTCTTAGAGCTACTATGATAACGCAAGGCACTCGAATGAATCTCATGATCTGGAGGCTGAAGAAGGAAATCACTTTCATCCATTTCAAAGTCACGTTCATCTGAGTTGATTCTCAAAGGTACTTCCTCCATACTGTTTGCATGAAATGAATCTGGGGGAAAAAATTCAAGGTTTAATCCTCTGAATCCAAAGCCCATCTAAATAATGATTAAAATTCAGTCTGTACCACAAAGATAATCTGGTTTATGCTGTTTTAATAAATAATCACTCTCTGCACTGAGAATCACGTGAAACCAATAATTACAAATTGTTACCATTCAGATTTAAAGGGTTAACAGGCTTCATCGAATAGTAATACAAACTTTACAGTTGTACACAGGTTGCAGGTACATGATCTTGAATAGAAGTTTCTAGTTATTCATCTGATCAAAACGTTTGTCTGCATGTAAGTTAAAAACTTATTTACTTATCAATAAACAATGGAAGTGTAAAAATAACATATGGAAACCATACTGTTAAGATATATTTCTCATTAAATATTCCAACACCATTCATGATCCTAGAATACCCATGGGTTTCAGAACATGTCTGCTTTCCTGTTCATGTGATTCGAGGTTCTTGGGAATATATCAATTGTGGTCTTCATTAATACTGTGCTATTTCACTTCTATAGCAAACTTTGATGAGAATTTCACTTGTTGAATGAGGGTGGGTTTCTGTAACAGGTTTGATTTAAATGTAGGAATGTAAAGTGTTTCAGGAAGGGCACTCCTAAATTCCAGGTTCTTACATTACAGTTTTGTGCTCAACTTTGTCTGTAACGGTCAGCCAAACTGGACTCCTATACTGTAGTTTCTTGAGAATATACTCTTACAAATAAATCATTACTGTAAATTAATTGAATGCTACAATAATAAAAGCACTTTCAGTAAAATAGCAATATTACTTAAAATCCTTTTCACAGTCTGTCACATTTTGGTCTGTGACCCCACATGGGTTCATAACATTTCAGCATCAACATTATTTCCTTTCAAATTGAAAGATGCACTGAAATGTTGAATAACGTTCCAAGTAAACCTAACTGAACTGGGAACTTTCTTGCACCAGTATCTGCTTTCAGTTCTACGCTACTCCACCAGCTTCCATCCCATCTCTAGAGATGGGGACCATAAAATGGAACCGTCAACTAATTCGGAAATTTGTAAATGTATGCTCTGGTAAATCGCCTTAATTTAGTCACCGTATTTATCCGAAAAAAAAACAACAACAGAGAACACACGCAAATTATTACTTACATTTGTATGCGTAGACACGAATATTGCCTCGGCAGGATAGGCCGTCATCGATAGGATGGAACGAGTGAAAGGTGGTACAGCACTGGAGTTTGGAGTTTTACTCAGGCATACTATCAGTGATAACAATATCACAAGAATGGGTTCGAAGTTCAGGGTCTCTGCCGTTTTTGAAAACGAATGCAATGAACGACATGCACTAAAACCTACATAACCTCTG